AATATCTATATTTAATATTTATGTTTAATATTATATAAATATTTAATATTTATTAAAATTGTAGGATAAATATGCTTGCAAAAATATTCACAATGTCAGAAAGAAATATAACAAATTTAAAATAATATATGAAAATTGGAAGGAAGAGATGAAAAATACTAAATATTTTGCAGTAAATAGACATACATAATTAATGTATGATAAGTTCTTATTTACTTTTTAGTTTATGTTTATAAACCAAAATATTTATACAAACAAATATTTGTATGTCACTTACTATATAAATATACACACATGTGCATACATACATACATACATATAATTATATCCCTGTCTTCTTCTCACGAAAAGCGAGTTTAACTACTATTTATAAAATTTATATAGTTAAGAAATCAAACCATTAACGAATAATGTTTCTTAATTAAATTACCGAAGATAAGGAGGTCGAGTTTCTTGTGTCCAAGGACGACTTCTTGTTCCTGCGTTGATTGCACGTGAAGGGCATGTTCCGCGAATGCTAAGTTTATTGTAGCCTGTAGGACCAGTTGGTTGTGCTCCACACGTTTCTAATGCTACAAAATCATCTACATGAAGAGATGGTGGTCGTGAAGTATTTGGTGGTCTTGATCTAAATGGATCTGCTCCTCTGCCTACACTGCCTACTACTGGCCCACCTCTTAAAGAATTAGTAAATTGTGTTCGACCTCGCATAGGTGTAACTGCAAAGGAATATTCTCCAATTAGATTATTATTATTATTGTATGAATGCAAATTATTATAATGATTGTAATAAATATGTGAAATTTACCAAATGGCTGTTTCACTTTTGAAACAGGAGATGTTGCTTGTTTTTGTCCATCTCTAGTTTCTTGATCATCAGTTTGCGGTTTTGATTGTAATGGTTGAGTAGCATCATCAGGTGGTGTTTTAGAGCATAAGTTTTGAGCTTCCGTTAGTAAATTAAAATCAGTAGGTAACAATTCAGCTGCAAGCGCTAATAAATCTACTGTAGTTTCATTTGATACTTGATTTGGACATATAAATGTAAATTTTTTTGGTCGTTTAGAAGCAAGATCTGGAGTACCCAAGCATCGTTGAGAAAACTGATTCAATAAAGCTTCAGGAGTAGGTAATAATGGTTCTAACATTTCTGGAATTGGTTCTTTCTCTTCTTTATCTTCTGCAGCTTTCAAAATTTCAACTAATTCTTGTGCACATTTTATTTTTTCCAGAGGATGATCATTTTTATCCCATAATATTAAAGCTGCCAATTGCTGTACACGTAGATACAGAGATCTCCCTTGTGATTCAGATGCAATTAAATTTTCTAAAAACATTATAGTTAAATCCACAATAGATTGAGCTTCTGGATCTTTTAATGTCGAAATATGATCTAATAATGACCGCAATGCATCAGGATTATTTTCTAAACAGCTCTTTACATGATATAAACCATAGTTATGACTAATAAGAGATAAAAGTATACGAAGTGTACTTTCTAGTATCTCGGGTTCAAATTTTGTACTAGATGCTAATATATCAATTAATGCTGCTAAAATAGACAAAAGTGGTTCTTTGCTTGGCACTGAATGTGTGAGTCTTTTTTCAAATGGTTCACTAATATCTTCGTACATGAGACTTAGTGTACAATCACACAATGTTTCAAAGATATCTAAAATTTCATATTGCATTCTAGTATCATTTGTATTTTTAAGTGCTGTACACATCATTTCAATAACAGGTGGATATTTTTGATCAGATTTTACTTGTGCTCTAGATGCAGGACTAGTTAAAGTTAACAAAGTAGCTTTCATAGGAGCATGTCTTGCAAGTTCACTAAGTAAAGCAAGTATTAAAACATTATTTTCTAATGGCATTGCAGCTATTATACCATCTAATAAACATCGGCCTACAAGTAATGCTGTAGGTGCTGCCAAATCACTTAATTGTTTACAAACTTTTGAAAGAAGAATTAACAAATCTTTATTCCAACTAGCACAAAGTAATCGCAGTGTTTCAATCAAATTATTAGCTTGTGCCTGCAAATGAGCAGACCACAATTTTCTAAGGCCTAAAACTCGAGTAGCATCTTCAGTCATTGTTTCTTTCAAAGTCAATACAGGTGGTAATAATCTTGTCAAAAGTTTCAAACCTGGTATAAAATTACATGGACTTAGAGACATCATCTTAAGAACTTCACCTAACATTTGTGTCCATAATGATTTTGCTACATTTCCTGATCCATCTGAATCTACAGCCTGTGTAAATACTAAAAGGGTTCCTACTATTTCTTCAGACAAAGTTTGAACAATTCGAATAGGAGGAATAGCTTCTACTAATGAATAAACACCAAGTAATGGTACTACAGCTGTTAAATCTTTAAAATCTGTAGCCATACATTTTACAAGACGTTCTAATAATGCTCTTGTTAATTTTACACATGGAAGAAGTAATGCAACTAATGCTAAGCCTCTTCTGCCAGTTAGAGCTGCATGATGCAAAAATGGTTGTTCATAAAATTCTGAAATTTTCGCCATAACTGCAATAAGAGCTGTTAAACCATCAGCAGCAAATAACTGAGTCAAAGCATTCCTGTACTTTAGTTCAATATAAGGTTCCATTGGATCAACATCATTATTTGAAGGAAAAACGAGATAATACAAAATTCTACATGCTGTAATTAATTGTCCTGGAAGAGAGGCTGCTTTATCTGCATTTTTCCTGATACATGTAACAAGTGGAGAAACATCTCCATAATTCCAATGAGATGATTGTGCAGCTGTAGTCAAATATGATGTAACATCTTTCAAAACAGCCTGGGTACGTGATTTTTCTAAAATAATCGCGGCACGACTTTGAAATATCTCTATACGATCAGAATAACGAATTGTTGCTGAAATAATTTCTGTAGCAAATTCACACAGATTTGGATCAGAAAGATAGGGAATTAAAATATCAATAAATTCTCCTGTAGGAAGTACTGTTAGTATAGCTTGTAAACCTTCAGGAAATATTAAGAAAGAATGAAGCTTTTTTAAAGCCATCCAATCAGAAGGTTGATATTTTAAATGCAATAAACATTGTACAACTTGAAGTCGCCAAGCTAAAACTGATCCTGCACCAGGCAAATCACACTTTAAAGCTTTTAAAATTAATTTGGTAACTTCTGGTTCTTTCAGTAAATACAATAAACCTTCTTTTGTACTAGATATACATAAAAGGAAACGTCGTGTAGTTTTAATTAAACTTAAATCTGATTTTGGAGAAGTAAGAGCAAATAAAATATGATACAAAAGTTTATGATATTCAAAATACGCTATCAGATGACATCGAGGATTTCGATTATGCTCTCGTTCAAATTCCATTTGAGCTCCAGCTGGAAGCTGACGTTTTGGTTGAGCCATTAATGTAGGTGAACATATATATGTATTTGTTAATTCAGTGATAGCTAACTCGTCAATTTCTTTCATTTCATCAAGAAATTCATATGTATGTACCTTTCGTAATAATGAACTTAAAGCATATTTTAATCTTGCTAATTTTGCTGTATCCAACATCATTAAAGCATTTTTGTATAGATTACTTTTTGATTTAAGAAACTCTCTAACAATTATTGGACTTATTAATGCAGCATCCAATGTACGAAGAGCAGAAAGTTTCACAGGAAGTGCCACATTTTCGCGCATGCACAATGCTAATAATTTATAAGGTGCATCTACTTTTAATAGTATATCTGGACCTTGTGGAAGTTTACACAAAGTTTCTGCTAATCGTACACCAACTTTAACGTGACGGACTTTATAAGCTGGTTGAGGCTGAGCACATGCAAGATCCATATCTAACCCAGCATTAACAATATTGCTTAAATCATTGAAATCCGTATTATTTAAATGGAATGGACTAAGTATTGAACATAAAGATTCACAGTTATGGACAAATGCTTCCTTTTCTTGACCTGAAGCATTATTAAAATGTAAAACTGATTTTGATATAGACTGAAATATTTCATGAATCTTATCCAACATATCTTTGCTAATGTGACATTCTTCAGTAATATTCATTGACTCTTCCAATTCCAACAGATCAGGTGGCGTTAAAGAATAAATGTTATTTAGCTGTGTATTTTCACATTCATAGTCTGTACTAGATGGTACATCATCTGCCATTATATCTTCATCAGATAATATAGGTTCAAAAGGCTCTCCTGTTTCTTGTTCACCGCCATCCTGTTCTCCTTCTTCTTCTTCAGCTGATATGGATTCAGGACTTAAAGATACTAAAGATTCTGAAGGTGGTGAAGAAGGACGTTTTGTAGATTTTAGAGTACTATTTGTAGCATCTTCTTCCCAATGTCCAACTTCTGTCTTTCCAGTATCTGATGTTGAATTTCTTGATGATTCTATTATCTGAATAGGTTGTATAGGAGGTGGAGGTGTTGCTGCTACACATGTTTCCTATAAATTCCATGTAATCCGTATAAGATTATTTTTCTAAAAGTAAGTCTTATAAACTTATATGTAGATACAATAACTTACATTTGAGTTCGTTTGTGTTTGGTTCTCATAATACCAATCAGATTGTTGCTCTGAAATTTGAGTAGTATTTTCTACAACTTCTTCTAATCCACTTACACAAGCTGCAGAACCAGCAGCTGAGCTAACAACTTCTTGTGGATTATTTAAAGATTTTGTTAATGTTCCATATACTGCTAGAGTAATGGTGGTATACCAGCCTCGTAATACTAATCCATCTGTTGGTATTTGTTTTCTTTCACATTCTAATTGAATATGAATATTCTGCTTATATTCTAATTCTCCAAGAGATTCAAATGTAGAGGCACCAGGCTTACTTAAATCATTTACAAAAAATTCAATTTCAAATTGTGATGGATTTGTGGCCCTAATATAAAAAAGATAAATTAATCTATTTAGAAGAAAGTCATTTCTATCTTAATACTAAGTTTTAATTGTATAATTAAATACCCTAAACGGACACCTCCAGGAAAATCTGCTTGTACTCTAGCACCTAATGGAATAATTCTAACTTCACTTATATAAACAGGTTTTGGAAATTGCACTAAGTCTAAATTAAGCTCCTAAAATAAACAAATCGTTTCATTGAAATTACTATATGTATTATATATATTATATTACACTTGAAAATGAATCAAATAACCTTACACTTACTTCGGAAATGTCATGTGAAAATGTATCGAAAAATAACAATTCTGTATTGTCCATATTTTAATTATTTTAGTATAAATTACTTTGAAGCAGCATGTTCCTATAAGGAATTAGAATTATTTTATTTAAGACAATATATTTCAAACATTTATTATTGTTTTTTCAATTATTACATAATAAAATTATACTCTAGTAATATCAACACTTAATTGTAAATAGAATATTAATATTTATAATACGTTTTGTATCGTAATTAATATTTTAAAATCATTTTAACAGTAAATTTATTTTTAGAAAATCACGAGTGTAATATTTGTGTACATAATTTTAGTTTTGATCTTGAATTTATGTTAAGAAACACTTATTCTTACATTAGTTAATAAATATTAAGATATATAACAATAAAAGGAATTTAAAAAGTCTTAGATTTTTTTAAAATTCGAATATTTTTCAAAGCTGCATACATTACTTTTTACTCTTTTATAATGATGTATACTTATTTAATTCGAGTAGCGACATCTGGTTCCATTTGATACTTACCTTCGGTTTTACTCGTTTTACTTCGTTATGAGAGAAATTGTAATGACTAATACCTGTGCAATCTTCCTTGCAAACAAATTTTTCTTTCCGTTGTAAATTTTTGTCCGCGAGAAAACTTAAATTTCATATATTTTGTATATTTACCCAATTTTAACGGGTGCCTTTTATATGTATTTTATAAGTAGTACTTATTGAATAGCTGTGATAACGACATAATTGATCTGCGTCACTGGTTGCGTTTTTGATTATTTGTAAATTTGTTTTTTGAAATCGTGATACAACTGCAATGAAACGAAAGTTATATTAGATCAGTAAGTGTGAGGAGAATTTTTGTTATAATTCATATTGTATAACATTAGAACATTGTAAACATCTTAAATATTGTTATTAAATCTATCAAATATAACGTTACCTTTTTCAATAAGATCAAGTATTATATTTTGTAACAATATGTACAGTTAAATTTCAATTTTGGAACAGGTGAAAACTTTTGTTGACATTATTTTTAGATTCAATATCATGTATACATATGTTTTAAACTCATGAGGAATAAATGAATTGCTGTCAAAACGTTTATGATTATTATTTTTATTTACTGAAATGTATAAAGCATTATATCATCAAAAAATCATAAAAATTTTTTATTTTATATTTATATTTATCTCCTATATGACCTATACTTTTGGATCTCAAGAAATTAAATATGTTTGTGTATGTATAATTAAGTGAAGAAGAGAAACATTTTTAAAAATGTCAGATGTGATACCTATCTGCTTGTAGGAATGGTAGCTGCTGGAGCCACAGTTTTAATGGCAACCAGTGAAGAAAGTTCTTCAAATGAAACGCAAAATAATTCCACACGATATGAAAATCGAAATCTTTGTTGTCACTATAATGAGGTTCATAATAATCAGCAAAATTCAGGATGTCCAATTAAAAAGAATATAACATCTTGTAACATAAATAGTAAGTTTAAATAATAGTAAATAGTCAGAATATTTTAAGATTTCTTAATAAACTTTATATTATATATTCATTAATTTAAAAGTTTTTTTATTAATACAAAAAACAATTGCTACAAAATATATAAATTTTTATATATAGGTATATGTAATATACTTCAGTTTGATATCAATGATTAATGTTTTTACTATTTATAATAGAAAATAAAAGTCGTAGTTCCATGTTGGAAAAGAATAGTCGGTTGATATCTAGACCAGAAAATAAAGAAAGTAAGAGTCTTACATTGCACAAGACAACACCAGTTCGTGAAACAAAAGCTTCTAGATTACGTGCTGCCTCAATTGTATCACCTAATGGCAAGTTACAGCTATTTTGAACGGATTAATATAATTTAATATTATGGTTTGTAATATATATTTTTCTTATATAGGTGGAACAGTGTTATCAAGGAGATCAGGTATGTCAGAAAATTCTACATCTTTGGGTCTTCAACCTAGTACCAGTTTATCAGTTAAAGATGTAAGTAATTATATCTAGCACAATTATATTAATACAATATATTATATAGGATACAACAATGTTATACAGGAACATTCAATATCAAGTACTAATATTACTGCAAATTCTGCACGAGAAAGGGATAAAAGTCATAAACGAAAATCATATTTAAATCGATCACTTAATATGGAAACAATAGCAGGAGATCACCCAAACCAGTGTAAGAAGTTGTTTAAAAAACATTTATATTTAACTAAAAATTTTATTTTATTCTACTAAAAATTTTATATGTATTTTAGCTGAATCTAATATTAGACAAACTAGAAGACAATCAATTAAAGGCTACATATCTGATACAATATCTACTTCAAATTCTAACAATCAGTGTCAAACAACAACTAATTTAAATAAAAGGTCCTTTGAGTCAAAAATCACTTGCCAAAAAGTTAAAGAAAATTATTCAAAAACTTATACATTACCTTCACTTAATTTTCCTGCAAGTAGTAAATATTCAAATATACAACGAACTACCAGGTAACCTTGTTTATAAATGTCTTTATTAGATCGTATTTATTTTTTTACATCTCTAATTTATATTGAAATTGGAATAACTATAAAATTTATTTTTATAGTAGTGGTGGACATAGTGATTCAGAAGTTTCACGAAGAGTTGATGCATTAACAGCATTAACAAAATCTGCAATAGAACGTGTAGAAAGACTTAAATCACATGCTAATTTGCCAACAAATCATACATCACGGTTAGAGAATCATTCATCTAATACACCATGTCACGGAATTTTTTCTCCTAATACAGAAAACAGTACGAGTAATACACGTGCATTACAGTTATCACCAAGAAAAGGTTCTATTTTAAAAAAATCAATTGATGAACAATCTCAAGATGGGTCTTTAAGTCATCAACATATACCAGTTTCAATTCTTAAACATAAGATATCTGATATTGATACAGATCAAAATTTATCTAATACTATGAGTCATACAGTTTTACCTGTAACTTTTTCACCATCTGTTAGAGATCCAACACATAAAAGACATGGTATTTTGAAAAAGCGCAGTAGTTTGGACGAAAGTGAAATACTTCGACGACGTAGTTGCTCACCCGACGTTTCATCTAGTGACAATACATGTTCTGAATTCAGACCAATATTAAAAAATCAAAGACGATCATCTTTGGACGAAATTATTAAAAGGGATCAGAGTCCAGATCCTCAGCCTACTTCTATATTAAAACGAAAATCATCTAGAGAAGATGACAGAGAAGATCGTCAAGTTGGTTCTGTAGAACCACAGGGTATACTTAAAAGGAAATCTGCAAATAGCCAACGAATAACTACTATTAATCATCATGTAACCATTACGATGGATGCAACAAATGTGAATAGTTCGGAGATACTTGATGGTTCTGAAGTGAGACCAATCCTAAAGAAAAAGTACAGTAGGGAAGAATCATTTGGTAGTGATTCACCATCTTTAGAACCACGACCAATCCTGAAGAAGAAATCGAGTACAGAATCGGATGAACATGATGATAAACCCAAGAAAACTATTTTAAAATGTACTCGAAAGAGCTCCCAAGATGAATGTAATTATGAAACAGAATTAACCTCACCAAAAAAATTGTCAATGCTTAGAAATCGTACTTTACAAAATAGAGCGAGTAGCATGTTGGAGAATGATCTTGTACGACCTATATTAAAGCAACCTGGTAGTAGAGACAACGAATCGCGAGTCCGTTTAAACTTATACGATGAAACGGTAATTAGTGATGATGCATGTACAGAACCAGCAAATTTATTTTTACGGAAAAGAGCACAATCTGTGGGCCATATACAACCTCCTAATGTTCCTAATGAATTTACTGGTGTACTTAATAAACGAAGATCTCTTGAATTAATATCCGTGAATGATATATCAGAAGAGACATCACAAATGAAATCAATAACCAATAGCATCTATTTAAAAATGGACTTTTCTCTGTGTGATAAGAGTGCCAATACTTCTACTGTTCCTTGTGACAAATTGTACAGGTAGTATTAAAGAATTAGACTAATATTTATACTATAAGGTTACTTCTTTATAAAATTAAACATTTAGTTATTTAATTATAGCTCTTAAATTGAACGTCTGATATTTTTCTTGGAAATATCATTTACATTTAAAAAACAATAATTATATTAGAATTTCATTATTTTAAAGCTTTCATTAAAATATAACATATAATTTTTAGTTAACTTATTATTATTTTAATGCTATGAATTTGTAATATTCCATAACACAAATTTGTTTATGCACTTAATCTGTATAGTAATATGTAACTTTGGTAAGACGTTGAATCTGTGCCAAGTTTAATTATAGATCACCTAGCAATTCTAAGAGCTACAGAAAACAGAGAATCAGAGCATGCACACAACCTGTATGTCTATCTAAAAGTTAATTTTGATTTAAGGTATTTCATTTGCAGTATTTCATTTTTTATCTTTATAAACACAACTTGCAATTTATGGAGGTTATTACATTTAAGATGTTCCTTTTTTGTTTAATTACTTATATGTATAAAGTAACTTAAGCTAAAGTACAGGTTACTAAAGTAAAAAGGACATTAAAGTTTCAATAAGTGCTTATTAAATATTTTTGTGTATACATTTAATGGGAGAGTTATAATACTTATACATTATAAAATTTAAATTAAGTTAATAATTAACTAAATAATAAATTAAATAAAAATAATTAATAATAAACCAAAAATATCTAATATTAAATTGTATAATAATTTATGTAAAATTATTTTTTTTGCAAATTTTTAGAAAATATTTTTATAAAATAATATTATGTATAATTCCAGCACAATAAAAGAGAAACCTATAGACAAGGAAAAGCAAACTATCACAGTATTTGGAAGTGAAGAAAAGAATAAAGTGAATTCTCATGGGTCTCCTATAGATGATAGTATTGATAATAGTACTCCAGTTTCTATTAGAATGAATGATAAAAGATTTTCCAATGATGAAACATCATGTTTGCAAGAAAAAAGAAATGATGAAAATAACCAAGAAAGTAATTGTATACAACATAGTAACAGCGTTTCCAAAATGGCATTGCATTTTAAAACTTTACAAGAAAAAGCAAATTCTAAAGAAAAGAATAGCATGTCCACAAAAACACAGTGTAAGAATTCACGTAATATACAACGATATAGAGAACGAAAAAGTCAAGGAAATGATAGATTTAACACTCAACCAGTAACTTTTCAAGAAGTGCAAGAAGCAGTTCTACAAAATCAACGCAATGCTACAGCAGTTAGAAAATTAAGTTTAACAGAAGATAGTGCAGCTACAACTGATGATGAATTTGATCCTTCTAAGTTAAGTTTGGCAGAACGAGTGCGTTTGTTTAATCAAAAAATTGATACTGAAAAAAGTTCATTATCAAATAACATACCACTGGAAAGACATTCACGAAGACGACCGGCTTCTCGCTATAAAACACAACCGGTTACATCAGAAGAAGTTGAAGTAGCATCCCGAATATCTCCATTAAATAATATAAATCAATTTTCGTTGAATACCAGTAAGTTTATGCCAAACATACTTTTATATAATATAAATTATTGATATTTTAATTGTTTTTGAAGGTGATTCATCAAAAATCATTTTAAAACCTGTTGCATTGCATGCTCATAATATGTTGCAAACAAAAAGTTTTGAACTTGGTGGAATGAATTTAATAAAATCTGTACTTAAGAAAGAATCTGAAGAATTAGAGCAAGAGACATTTGAAAATGCTAATGTTTCATCATTGTTACAACCTAATTCAAAATCAAGAGAAAATAAGGTAAATATTTGACTAAGTAAGATAAATAATCAAAGATTCAATATGAACAAGAACTTCAGTTTTGATGTACCATGTTATACACAGGCAGGAAGTATAATAGAAAATAATTATCTGCGGCAATATGATTCAAGTTGTTCTTATAGTGAAAAGGATAACTATGCAGAAGGTAAGTAACATAAAATTAAACAAAAGCATACAGTGTTTTTTCACAAATGTAGTACTCAGGATAAATTAAATACAACAAAGTACAAATTTGCATTAAATAACATAGATAATGTTCAAACTATAACCACTATATCTAAGAAACAAGAAGAAACACTTCAGATATCTGAAAGTGAGGCATGCTCTGTAAGTTATGATACATGTAACATAAAAGATGAAGCTATGTCTCCTTATCATCATCCTATTTTTTCAAAACAAACCAGGTAACAAATTTTATATTAATTTATTCATGTATTATTTTAAATAAAAAAATAATTCTATATTCTAGTATTGGATATTAATAAGGGTTGTAAAAATTATATAAATTATCAGAAATTTTGTAGAATTTTGTAGAATCTTTTATATCCATTTAGTGTAGTATATTTCATTAAATATAGCTTTTATGGGACAGAATTTTTTTACTTATTACTACAAGTACTGATAAGATTATATTATGTAAAAATGCCTGAGTGTGTGTATTGTAATTAACTACTTATAGGAATACCTCATTATTGAAAAGTGTCAGCCATCATGCAATTAGTAACAAAGTCAATGATACAAGTGAATTGAATAGTGCAACAATACAAAAGCAACATGGTGTACCTCTTCCAGGATTATGTCGTAGTGTAACGCAAGCAATACCGACGATAGATATTAATGATGGACCGAGTATGAGTATTGCAGAACGATTAGCTGCATTACAACATAGCGGAAATACGAACTGGAAACGACGTATAGTTTCTGAATCATCTAATTCATCAGTAAATTATTTTAAAATGATTTTTTTGATAAAATTGGAAAGTATTTCATAATATTTACTATCATTAATTGAATTTGATATTAGGATGGAATGTCTTCTAATACATCGAATAAAGAAGAACTGACTATAAAACAAGGAGTGCTTGCAGATTGTCTTGGGAAATTAGAATCTGCCACAGAAGGTTGGAAGAAAAGAATAGCTGTCCCGGATGTAACGAAATTTACAGTAGCTGGTAAAATGAAAGTAGAACAACAGGAAAATTTAGATCCAGGACCATCCTCTCCACTCGTTGAAGTTACAGGAAATATTACAGATAGAAAGAAAAAAACTCCTCGTCCTGAACGATTTAGAACGAAAAAAGGTAATATTATTTAACATATTTTCAAAACATTTTTAAATCTAAATTTCTCAGTAAAATATTAAATATACAACATATTTTCAGGATACGTGAAAGACGCTACATCTATGCCAACTAGTCCAAACAAAGATCTATGTATTAAATTACGAGGAAGCTTCTCTGAACCTACAAGCGATGACAGCAGTTAGTAAATACTTAGTTATAAAAATTATATCAAAGCATTTATCTTTAGATAGCATTATTTGAAAATATATATTTCACAGCTGAAGAATTGAAAACGGAAAAGAACATGTCACCTGTTGTCTCAGTACCTAAGATAGATGATGAAACATTCACCTCCTTCTTTACTGGAATTTCATTAGAAAAATGTGAGGTTGAATCTGTTGACTTAAATGAGAGCGATTTTGATACAATTACATCACAATCTGAATTGTAAATTTTTCTTTTTTCATTAATATCATATATTAAATAATAATTTTTACGGATTTGTATTTTTGTATCTTATATTTTACATTTTTATAGGTTAGTTCAAAAACGAAATATACGATTGAAACGACGACGTATAATGTCTAGAAATCCACTTAAAACACTTGCAGCACGTACAGATTTAAAAACAGAGTATACTGAGATTCGGACTGGTATTGCAGAAAAAGTAATGAAACAATTAAATGTCGAAAAACGTAAGTCTCTATATTAAATATCAAATAATTAGTATGCTTTATTATAATAATTATGTTATTACATTATGTTATAGTAGCTAAAAATTCATCATTAGCAATGGAAGCTCTAGCTGGCCTAGCTTCTACTGAAGACTTCAGTAATATAACATTAAGGAATGTAGCAGAAACAAATATTTCTTCAAATAGATTACAGCCATACAAAGACTTAATGTTAATTTTAATTAAAGGCAGGAGACATGTTCAAGCAAGATTAGTTGAGCCAGTCGCGGAAAGTATAAACAGTGGCGACAATTTTGTTCTAGTAACAAAATCAGAGGTTATTAAAAGTATATTATTTTATAGAATTTATTTAAAATATTGTAATGTATTTTATATTTTTAATATAGGTTTATAATTATATTGTAAAATATTGCAATGTCATTGAAAAAGCACGAGGTGCAGAAATTGCTATGAGTATTCAGCAAAATAAAGATCTTGGATGCCAAACATCTCAAGTTGTTATTATTAATGAAGATAAAATAACTTGTACAAAAAGTCAATTGCAAAAATTTTGGGATTATCTTGGTGTGGAAAATGAAAATGTAGATGGTAAATAGTATTTTTTTATTATATATGAATATAATGTATAGAAAGTTAATATCACTGTATTATATTAGTTATTGATGGTGGACATCCTGATGAAGATGAACTATATGAAACATTTATAATAGATACAAATATGGTATATGAAATTAAAGGTGAAGAATTAGTACCACTTGAAAAATATTGGGGTACTATGCCAAAAATTGAGATGCTTGATCCAAATAAGGTAGGTAATTTAATGTTCTACAATTTTTAATTTATTAATTTATTTATAAATAATTATATATTTCTTTTATAAGGTACTAGTATTTGATTTTGGTAGTGAGATGTATATATGGAGTGGTAAAGGAGCCTCGGCTGATAAAAAGAAGCTCACTACACATCTAGCTACAGAAATGTGGCAAGAGGGATATGATTATTCGGAATGTACTGTGTGTCCAATTAGTGCAGCATCTATGATTGGTAGACGCAGTGTATCAAAAACAGATTTAAAATCTGCTAAAGTCAGACCTAACTGGTGTTTACTTGCCAAATTGACGCAACATGTCGAAACAATACTTTTTAGAGAAAAATTCCTTGACTGGCCAAATGTGTCTGGCATAATACGAATTCGAAGTAGTAAGAATGAAGAACATGTTGATGGGACTGTAACTATAGAAATGTGTAATATTAATAATTTATTAGAAGAATATACCAACCCGGTTGATTTAGTTCTTGAAGGAACTCACTTAGGCAGAGGCACTGGTTGGTATGACAATGAGGTAAAATACATTATTATTTAGTAACACATAATAAGCAAAACTTGCATGCTATATATATCAAAGAGATTAAATATATACTCTTCCTTGATAATTATTTTTCAGTTAATGAAACAATTTGTTGTTACAACAACTGGTGTGAAAGTATGGCATATTGATGAATTTTCGCATACCCTACTGGATGATTCTTCCATTGGACAATTTTATTCTGCCGACAGTTACATTGTGCATTGGATGTATTCTGTTACAATTACTGGTAAATATTGCAAATGTTGCAATTCAGCTTTCTAAATTTGTTATCATAATATGTACTAAATGATCTTCTGTATCTAGGTCGTGAACTTAGCGGTTTACCGTCAAAACATTCTGCGAAAGGTCGGGATCGCTCGGTATATTTTATTTGGCAGGGGAAAAATGCATCTTTAAATGAACAAGGTGCTGCTGCATTATTAACTATCGAATTAGATAATGACCAAGCGCCTCAGGTAATTCTCAATGAGAATCAAAGGTATTACTTGAATAAATATTTTAATTTATATTTACATTCTTTATAGCTTCGTGTAGTCCAAGGACACGAACCAGCAGCATTTCTGAATTTATTTTCTGGAGGAATGATTGTACATAGTGGCAAGAAAACCAATACAAAATGCGACGAAACATGGCGATTGTATATATGTCGAGGTACTTTAGAGTCAGAGGTGTCTTTAATAGAGATTCCTTGTAGTACTCGTCAGTTACGGAGCAGAGGTTCTCTTATATTACTGGACACTAAAAATAATAAAATTTATGTGTGGCACGGATCTAATTCATTACCTCACATTAAAAAGGTATTCTTTCTAAATTTCAAATTTGCATCTATGTACTCTATAAAAATATCCAAAGTAATATATATATGTATGTATGTATGTATATATATACATACATACATACATACATACATACATACATACATACATACATACATACACACATAATATTTGCTTTCAGAATATAATTAGTGCAGCAGTTAAATTAAAAACAAATCGACCTCGCGAAACAGGTCTGTCTGCTGAGGTCAATGCAGAAATTTTTGAAATTGATGAAGGAATGGAACCAGAAGAATTCATCAATGGTAAATAAAATTTTATCTTCGATATTAACTTATTAACATATTAGAATAATGAATAAGATATATTTTCTTGTACAGCTTTAGGACGAATGAACAAAAAGCTGTATGTATCATTAGAAAAAGATCAATTACAGGAACATACTCCAAGATTGTTTCATTTGTCAAGCATTTCCAAAGAATTTAAATCTGTAGAGATATTATGTCCTCACCGTGCTTCTTTACCAACTCCATTTCCATTTCTACAAGAAGATTTATATCAAATTCATCAACCAGGTAAGTTATAAAATAATGAAGAAATTTCTTTTTTATCTTACAATACATAAGTTGATTAAATTATCATTATAGCCTTATTCTTGTTGGATAACAAAAATGAATTGTGGATATGGCAAGGCTGGTGGCCCAATACTGGGGCAGAGGATCAATCTGGTAGTAAAGCAGTAAGATGGCAAGCTGAAAGAAGAGCGGCCATGACAATGGCTATGCAATATTGGCAAAAAATTCATCCAGAAACTAATAAATATCCAATTTATCTAGTTTGGGCTGGTCTTGAACCTTTGCAATTTATAAATTTATTTCCTACATGGACATATCGAGATGATATTGCAGAGTTAAATATAGAGGTATTTTTACATTTTCTAAAATTGTTAAAATTACATGTTCAAATGAATAATATGTAATTAGGATGGTCGAAATCCCGGGGAAGTATTGACTGTAGAGAGCGAGTTAGTTCGATTAACGCAAAGTACGTATCCTCCGGCTCAATTATTACAACGACCATTACCGGAAGGCGTTGATCCTACGCATCTGGAATTATATTTATCTCAACAACATTTTCAAGTACGTTTTGTACACTATTAGTAATAAATAGATTTTAGTAAGAAAGGATGCATATTTTGTATGTTTCAACAGGAACTACTAGGTATGACTAAAGAGGAATTTCAAGAACTTCCAGTTTGGAAACAAGTGAACCTTAAAAAAGAAATAGGGCTTTTCTGATGAAACGTCCAGACTGCCGATCCTATGAAAAATTGCTGCCCCTGTAAAGCGATTAATAAAGTTTTTGTTAATTGTTTTATGATGTTTATAACTTCAAATTTTTTAACTTCTCAGTGTATGAATTCGCGTTTAATATGCCTAAAGTTGCCTATCGATAAAAGAGAAACTAATATTATAATGCAGTTAAAGATATTTAATACTATTTCAAATATAATATATACTACATACGTACGTGCACTTGTGCGTGCACGAATACAAATAGGTAATTATATATTTTTAATACATACTAAACGTAAATTGGCTTGTGAATATTTCCTTTATATTTGTATGGGCTTTATATTCAATGATAATACAATGTTTTAGAATGGCTTATTCTTACATGTGTAATATTTGTACAAGAGCGACTGTATTCTTTACAACATACTCCATGTTTTTGAACAGTATTCAATGAACTTTCTCAATGTTGCCTTGAGTCTTATTTCATAGTCCCTTGTGATCCTCAAAACATTGCATACATTAAATTCGAGAAATTTTTTAAGTTCACATTATTTGAGATAATTCTTTCCCAAACATGTATATAATGCTACATTATTCTATCATATGTATGCATCATTTTAAAATAATTTTATTTTACATTCTTTTTGTATTTATGACTTGTGTGATATTGAAGTAAAATACATTATTTATATAATAAAATAATTTAATCGTTTTCTGACAAAATATATTCAAGGTGAATGCATCATTACAGTAATTCTATACATACATATAAAATATTCGTGCCTGCGCACGCGCGTGTGTATGTGTATGTTTGTGCGCGCGCGCACAAACCGCGCGTACATATATTTAAAATATACATAAACAATAATATAAATAAATGGTATAAGTTATTTTTTTAATCAAATTGCAATGATGCGCATTATAAACAAATAGAATAAAAATTATTCGAAAATAATTTGTCATATTTAAAATTTCTTTAATAATTAATTAATTCTTGTACTTTTTTCAGAGTGTAATTATAAATATCTTCATCTATGTCTACTTGTTACCTTATCCTTTTATAAATTGACCAAGGCACAACATTATGTCAAGAGTATAAAAGAATCATACATTACTTTTAGAGTGTAATTTAAAGTTACATTCTGTTCAAAATTTATTGATGTGTGTGCAAAGAACACAAATTCACCCCAATGCTTACAGTAGTTCTTTATTTTATTCTACAATAATTATGGAAAGTGTACGTACACACAGTAAATGAGGTGCATGATGTTATTATTTTAGATAATATAATGAATTATGCATTTTATAAAAATTACATATAATACATTAAAGTTATATCGCGAGTAATTTATGATTTCTTTGTTATTTATTTTTTTATTCTTTTTTACATCGAATCGTACAAAATCATCTATATCTTTTATATTTTCATTATTGCAGCAAGTCATACATTTTTTAGATAAAACATAATTCAGAAATTATTCAAAACAATAATACAAAATACCTCATTTTATGTGTGATCATGCGCGCATTTAAGTCCATATATCTAAATCATTTAATATTAAAATAACTCATCCGAATAATTGATTCTATACTTTATGTCTTATTTTAAAATAATCGTGCGTTGATTGATGTACAATGACACACCAGAGCCGTGACCTCTTTTCTCGCTTTAATGTTCCCCAAACTAATTATCTCGTTATTAATCTTCGAATTTTAAATCCAATTTACAATATTAGATGTATTGGAATACGATGTTAGCACTTCCATTCAAAATCATTGGGCATCTGTAGCACACAATTGAATTTTTAATGCATTCGTTTTATAAATGCTTCTAATAAAATTTCCTGCTAAATGTTACAAATTACAAGTCAAAGTCGTTTTAGAAGATATTTCAATTAAACTCATTATAATTTTCATTACTCCGGTTATCATTGATAATACACTATAATTTTATATATGAATAATAATAAATGATAAATGTGAGAACTAATTTTAAAACAATTCTTTTTTTAAAGAAATAATATATTGTACAACTTCATATACAAATTATATATAACAAATGACAAATATGTATTTACACTTTGCATATTGTTATATGTACTATAAAATTGTTACCGCCACATGTAATACTTCGTGAAAATAATTGTTTTATTCATGCTTAATACTCTCGTTATTTAATTTTTTCTTTTTTGCTATTATGCAAGTTACAAGTAACTAAAAACAGATTTACAGAAAAAACGGAGTATTACCATTTAATTGTTCACTGGACTTTTCCATCAATGTAAGCCTTTATGGCAGTTTGACATTCTACAGAACACCAATGTTGAATCAGTAAGTATGTTTCTGATTCTAATGCTGCATCCAGCTTTTTTCGCAAACTGTGACGTAGTAACGCCTTTGTAGCTTCCATAGACTGAAAATAAATATATCAAAGATTAAATAGCAGTTTTGAATACATATGCAAATGAAGAAAATTCAGGATGTATAACATAAATATTAATTAGTTTTATATACATAGCTGATGTGAGTACAAGGGACTGGAAAATTCTATTTTTACTTTTGATACAATATTGGATTCTATAATCAGCTTAGTTACACATATAAAAATGTTTATTTTAATTTATTTATTGTCTTTTATAATAACTAGATGTTTTAGCTCTTATGTTATAATTAACAGTAAATTAAGTAATACTACATTCAAGTATTGGGATGGTGTATGTATATTCAATTATTATACATATAGAAGACATTTATAAAGTATTGTATACAGAAGAAAGAAATAATTTATTGATGTAGATTAACGGAGAGAGTGATTTGCATGAATGCAAAACCAATGAAGTATGTAATGTGATTCACCACAGATTTTGGGTATCTAGTTTAACAGAAAGATTTTGTCATTGTTCTAATGGAAAAGAATGTCCCTGGCAATGGATAAGAGAACTTGAAAATTCATCTGTTTTTCTTAATAATAGATCGCATATGGAGGTACGCAAAAATATAAATTTTACATTAAAACTTATATTTAAAAGTTATTACTTTTTTCTATTTTCTATAGCTTTGCACTCTAATAATAAAACTGAATATGTGTAAATACAATCAAGAAGCAATAGAAGTTTACGGTACAAGCGATAGAAATAATTCTTATCCAACACCATATAATGTAACATTAAATTGTAATTGTCCAGAATCACATTATTGAAGAATTCAAAAATATACATATGGCAAAAATAATTTTATTACACAAACATTCAAATGTATAAAGGTACACGTTTGAAATCGAAATAACTAAATGTATAAAAGTTTATGCATGTTTTAACAAATCTTACTTCACTACTTTTATATAGAAAAGGATGTGTGACGCTTATCAATTTTGTGGACATATACGATCTGATTTATACTCAACATATTACAGATGCATTTGTCCAGAAAATCATTTATGCATCTTTGAAAATAGGAACAAAGAAAATGTTCAAGAACTACTTTATTCCGGTCCTGCTTACAAAGGTTACTGTCTTCCATTTAAAAATATATAATGCTTACTTATTTCATAAATAATAATTTTATTAGACATATTTACATCTAAATAATACTAGCAGTAGTAGTAATGGTAGTGGTAGTGGTAGTGGTAGTGGTAGTGATAGTGGTAGTGGTAGTGGTAGTGGTGGTGGTAGTGTAGTAGTAGTGGTAGTAGTAGTAGTAGTAGTAGTAGTAGTAGTAGTAGTAATAGTAGTAGTAGTAATAATAATAATAATGATAATAATAATGATGATAATAATAATAATAATAAAATAATTGAAAGTAATGAATATAGAATACATACCTGAGAGGATTGTTCACTCATAGCCTTTAGAGTTGGTAGTAATTCAACTTGAAATCTATCAGGCCATAGAACCCTAGTAACAAGACCAGCTCTTAATGCTTCACTAGCTGTTAAAGTTCTTCCACCTAATAATAATTCACTTGTCTGCAATTTTAATTTTAATTTTATTTAATATATTATTTCTACTATATGAAAGCATTGACATATTGTACATAAATATGATACTTATAATGTATTTAGTATACTTACAATTGCACTTCCTAATATATGTGATAAAGTGAATACAGCAGCACCTTCAGCAATCTGTCCTAATTTGCCATAAGGTGTACTGAATGTAGCTTTGTCACTAGCTATCACAAGATCAAATAAAGGCAACATTGTTACTCCAAGTCCAACTGCAGCTCCTTGAACTCCAGCAACAATAGGTTTATTAAATGATGCTAACATTTTAATAAAATCTCTAAATACAGAAAAAATGAGCTTTTTAATTAATTAAACAAATGTAACATATGCATATGATTTTTACAATGATAAGATACAACATACTTAACCGCATCCGCTATTTCTTGAGCATGAATTCGTCGTTCTTCCTTATTTGTATGTAACAACATGGATAATTCAAGACCTTCGCAAAAACTGCTTCCTGTTGACGTTAATAACACAACTCTACAATCATCATCTTTCTTCAGAATTGATAATGTTTCGCGAAATTCTTGCATTAACTGAAAAAGTTTCAAAAATGCTGCTATATAAATAAAGCTATGTATTTATAACAGAATAGAAAATATTAAATAATTTTGTTATAATTATAATTTTATTACCTGCAAAGTGAGTGCGTTTCTTATTTTTGTTGAAGATGATGGTGTAAGTATTAATTGCACAAGATTTCCATGTCGACGTACATTTATTTCTTTATTACTGAATTGACTTCGTGTTTCCATTTTTGTTATATTATTATCCAAATCTGGCATCTTAGCAGTATTTACATTCACTGAAAAATAATTTTATTTAAAATTTTTACATTTTAGATAAAAATATAATTTTATTATTATAATTTGCTAAAAATAGAAAATTTATTATGCATATGAAATATTTTTAACTTGTTTAAATCATTGCTTTCACCTTTATTTTTACGATTTGCCGTTGAATTTGCAGACCGACTTCCAGCATTAACTACAGATAGAGCACTTGCAGCTTCTGCAAGGCAGGCTGAAAGTTCATCTTCTTCTTTGGAAAATTCTTCATTGTTATCTGGTTCGCTTGTTTTAGCAAATGTAACTTTGTTCTTTGTAGTTTTCTTTGTCTTTGATGTTACCTTACTTGTAGCTGTACCATTTGACCGTGTAATTACTTTCCCTAAACTACTATTAGTTTCATCTATTTCGGATTGCTTCGAATTTTTATCAGTTTTTTTTGAATCTAACTTTTTGCTAAGGCGTCCAGGAAATGCCACTTTTTCTCCTACAGTATCAATAAGATCCGTTGCTGTATCATTTTTTTGTACAGTCTTTTTTTTACTTTTCTTCACATTTATTCTTTCGTCTTGCGAATGTCGCCTTTTTGTAGATCTCAAAGAATGGGATCCTCCTTCATCAACTTTAACTCCTTCATTTTTCTCTGGACTATCAATACTAACTCTGGGACTCCCAGAAGCACTGGAAAATGAACTAGACGAATGTCTCCTAATTATAACAGATGCATCAGCTGCATTTCTTATTTTCGCTGGTAATATAAATTCTTGAGATGTTACATTTATTTGTTTTGCTGATGCTGCTTGGTCTCCAATTTTCTTATCCATTTGTATATCACTCAAATATATAGAAGTCCTTTTAGATCTTGGAGAAACTTTAGATACACCTGCTGTTGAAGTACGTAATCTTAAAACTGCATTACGTACTAATTTTTTTCTAAGTTTAAGTTCACGCTGTACTTTTTGTAAGTCCATGACTTTTGTTTGAGATTTAGTAATGGGAACTAATCTTTTTTTGTCCGGTTGTTCCACATCATACAATAAATTTACAACACCTTCATCTTGAAGTAATCTGTCAATTTCGTTTATGATTTTCTTTTTTGGTTTAGAATCTCCAACATTGATTTCTGTAGATCGTTTTGACTTTGAGATTACCTTTGATCCCGATTTTTTCGGCGTGTTTAGTTTAGTTTTTAAAGCAGTAGCTTTTTTATTGGTAGACAAATTTTGCCTTAATATCTTTTTCACTACTATATTTCGTTTAGGGATAGTTTGTGACCCCTTTTTATGAAGATTTTGTTTTGAAGTCTTTAAAGATACATTGTCAAGCTTGTCTAATGTTGCATCCACCTTATTATTATTTGTAACTTGTTTGTTTGTTATTTCATCTGTTATTGTAACATCAGCCTCTTCATTAAGAAGTGACATTTCTTTAGATGCATGACTCTCAGTTAATAAATTAGTATCGCCTGGAGTTTGTAATTCATTTTCTTGTGTTTGCTTTTTACTTAGTGAAACTTTACCTTTATAAACCTTTTGACGTTTTACGATATTTTGTTGTTGCTCATGCTCTCTAGCTTTTTCTGTGAGTTTCCGTTTTCTACCTGATCTTGATTCATCTAATCGAATATCTTGCACATCTGTTTTTTTTTCTGATGTATGAAGTTCAATAATCACAGAAGATGAACTAGGCTCAGAAAGTTTTGAATCTGTTACAGATTCTGTAGCTTCATTTATTAAATCAACATTAACAATTTCCTTTTCTCTGATAGGTATAGCTTTTACTTTCATTTCCTTTGAAGTTTTACTAGGTGTAGGTTTAATTGTTTTCTTTTTTTTTGACACACTTCTTTTAGTTGGTGCAACAGGTAATTCTAGAAGTTGTTTTAATGCTAGTTCCCTTTCAACTAGGGGATCAAGTTTTGGTGGTGTATTATAACCACTTTGTTCAATCTTTACTGGACGCTTTCCCTCCTCAGTTAAAGTTGGTGGTTTCAAGTTAGACCAATCAGGATCAACATCACCTTCTAATATTGCTAGCAATTCTTTGTTATCAGGATTACTTTCTTTACCACTTCCTGTACTTGTATTATCTGATGACTTTTTATCACATTGAGTAAGTGATTGAGTAATAGGTTGTGGCAATGGTATAAGTGCTGGTAAAGAACTTCCTGGACTACCTACTAGTTTACTTGACAACCTCTGTGTTAGTTTCTTAACAAAAAATATATCAGGTCGTGGTGGTGCTTCTACTATCTTTTGTTTCTCACGGAGTCGTTCTTTTAATGCTTCTGTTACTTCAGCAGGTGAAGCTATTTGGCTAGTTAAATTACGAACACGATTAATGGGCATAATTTGTATTTGTGATGATGAAGATTGACTAAATGTAATCACATCCAGTGTTGTATCTTTTACAGATTTTCCAGTAGTTTGAGATGTAGAAAAATTTATTTGATCTTTGGGTGATGACTTTATACTATGTTCTTTCCTTACAGCTTGATTATTATCCATTTGTTCTTTTGGTATTTGTATTTCTTTATTTTCTTGAACAACTTTTATTACTTTTTCTGCATCTATAACTGGTTCTTTCTCAATACATGTAATTTCTTCTTCAACCAGTACTACTGTGTTCTCTTCTATAGTTTGTGTTTTTGTGTCATTTAATAAACTTTTCAATTCTATTTCAACAGTATCTGGCATTTTACATACTGACTGATTATCATCTTCTATATTTTCATCTCCCCAATCATCAAAGATATCTTGAATTACACTTCTTTTCTTCGTTATGCTTATTTTATTCATTTCGTTTAAGGGTACATTTTCCCCTTCTGCATTAGCAACATATGTAGTTGTGACAATTTTATTATGGACAACTTCTTTTTCTACATTAATTTTCTGTGAATTATCACAAGATTCAGTCTTGTCATTGTCATTTGTTTCTATTTGCTTTGCATCATATTTACCACAATTTTGCTGTACTTTTTCTTCTTTAATATCAGTGTTATCTACAGTTTCTGGATTATCAATTACTTCTGAAGTAGTAGAAGTTACAGAATCTTTTTCTGAAGCAATGTGATTTAAGATTTCCTTATTTTCTTGGTGGGTACAAGTTTCGGAAATTTCTGAATCAACAATTTCTGTTGATATCACTTCTATGATAGTTCCATCACCATCTTGAGTATAATCTATCAAATTAAAATCTTCATTAAGAATTTCAGTTTTTTTAATGTCTTTCTCTTTCAAAGTAATATTGTTTTCATTAGAATTAACCACGGCATCTTTCTCATGTACAGTTAAAACAATATTTTCTTCTGTACTCTCATTCAAATCATTAATAGTTTCTACAGTCAGTACCATTACTTCTGAACTACCATCAACTAGTTTAGACAAATCTGCATCTGTATCTGTGACATGCAATGTTTGGTCTTTATCATCAAAAGTCTCACTAAGTGTTTTAATCAATGCTTGACATTGAGCATTAGCATCATCAACTGTATCTATGTTTAACATAGTACAAACATTGCGTTTTTCATAATTTTGTTCATCCTCATTTGCATTAAATGTTTCAACGTTGTTTGCACTTTCTTTGTCCAAAGATGTGTTTTCTCCACAATTTAAATTATTTTCTATTTTATTTACTTTTCCTGTTTGGTTTTCTTTACATTTCTCATTTTTTATACATTGATTATTATCAATTTGTGTATCATTATGTATTGTTTCTTGTTTAACTTCATTAATTATAACATTCTTTACATTTTCCGTTACTCTATTATTTTTATTTTCAAATTCTGTACTTGAATCTGTTATATCATATTCATTTATTGTTAAAGCTTCATGAATTATATTATCTGTATATTCTTGTGAACTATTTTCTTGACTTTTTTGGATAATCTCCTCACCTTTTATATAATCTTTATTTGATTCTTGTATTAATGGAGAAGTTATATCTATTATTATAGATGATTCTGTTTCATTAATATTACTCTGTGTTTCATCTATTTGTTCCATGGTAAAACATCAAGATTGTTACAATTATTTAATAAGTCATGGATTGTCCTGCCGAGAAGAAACAATGTCATTAATCGTTACAAATATTAATTGAAAAGAAATAAATATCAAAGTATATAAATGACTTAGTTGTTTTATAAATTGAATTTAAGGTGCATAAACAGTGAATCTATAATTTTATTTATTAAACATATAATTTGAAAGCAATTATGAAAACTATCATAACCTTATTTAAATTCTTAAATCATATAAAAATAAATTCTTAATTTTTTTTCTATTTCAGATAAAAGACAATTGCAAATGTTGCGTAAAAAGAAGTTTAAATAAATTTTATAATTAAATTCATGGTTCAAAAATACGGAAACAGAATTAATAATTAACTAGTATATTTCGACATTTCTTGGGATGACAATAAATAATGCGTTGTAGGATAATTTATAAAACATTACAATTATTTACACTGTTTTACAATGTTTACAATGTTAGTCGACACGTTTCAATTAATATTATTTTACTTAGATTGTTACATTGTTTAATAGCATATTTGTTAAATATGTAAAATGATTTTAATGGCAGAGTAAGAAACTTACCAACCAGGACTGCCGTGTCCATACCGTATAGATTCCAATGAAAATCACACATTATTTAAGTTTTATAACATTGATTTTATAGCAAAATAACTTTATTAACCAAATATCTTACGTAAATTGCACCTTAATAGATCTCAGACGAAAAAACAATTACTTCCTTAAATCCAAACACAATGTTTACAAGAATGAAGTCGGAGGTTTATACTACTGTCATCAATTTAGATACTCTTCTTTAAAGTTTCTTAACAAAATTATGAAATGAAAAATTATGAACATTTTATTTACAATTAAAATGTGTCACAAATTCTAAAACATATAAGAGAAATGCAAACTTTGTGTATTTATGATCGTTTAGTAGTAATTAAAAATAAAATTATCACTGATTCTCATATGTTAGCGTTAAAATCTTACAGGCATTTAATTAAAATTGATAAAGTAATTCTTTTCTAATATTAAAATATTATTGGTGAGTAAAAAATAATTGTATTAAATTACCAATAAACATATTTAATAATAAATTTAATACGTATTATAAAATATGATTATCAAATAAGAAATTACTTAAATGACGTAAATATATAACTGTAAAATACATAATAAATTGATTTTGTAATAATTTAAGAAAAAGAAGTTGTTGCTTCAATACAGTTTTTTTTCAACGATGGTAGATAAATATTTATTTTAAATAATAAATTCATTTGTGTGCCGATAGATGACAGTGAAATAATTTTCTGTAGTATTTTGTTTATTCTTATCTGTAATTTTAAGGAAATGTATAAATCATACCTTTTATGTATATCCCTTTTGTAAACATAATTGCAATCATGTTATTATTTTCCGTACCTAAAAATACGTTTGTGACTTTTAAGGTGCAAAGTTAATTTTATCTGTAATTCATGTATAAACTGATAAGAGTTACGTGTATATTTATGATGCAATAAATTGTATATTTAAAAAATTAAATAATAAAGTTTTTATTTTTAACTTTGATATTTAATCATTGTTTTATTATTAAACTATATTATTATTTAAGAAGTTCATACTTTTTCACATAGTATTTTTTAGTTAGGTTATATACATGGTAAAAATATTTTATCAGTTAAATGAATTCACCGTATGATAATTGCGATAAACTTAGATAGCCGTCATTTCTATAAACAGGATCTTACATGTATTTGCAGTAAAAAGTATAATTTCTACTAAAACTTATTATTTACATAACCTACAAAGAAATTTTTGCTTTAAAATTCTAAATAGTGATTAAGTAAATTGTGAAAAGATGTCTTCAAAAATTGTTGTTGTTGGTTCATGTATGATTGATTTCACATGGTAAGTGATAAGATACTTATCATATGTATAAACAACTTGTATCAGTTTTAAAAAGTTTATATTATGTTAATGTTATGAAATATGAATTTAATAAGCAACAATATTGCTTTATATAAAAGTTAAGGTGTAGTTTTACTTATATTTGAATAGCTGTCTTATATAATAATATATTTTATGTAGAGTATACTTAAAATAAAGTTAAATCTTCATGTTTTATGACAAATGCATTAAATGCATTAGAAAAATATGAAATATACATTTTTTCAGTACCTTATCATTTAAAATTTATGTTTAATTTAAGAAGTATAAATTGCCAAAAAGTATACAATTATAAAATATAAATTATCAGCATCGCTTCTCTTAATATGGTAAGAATACATTTGTTTTTTAGCTTTTCTCCTCGTTTACCAAAGCCTGGTGAAACAATAATTGGTAGTAGATATGAGATAAAATATGGTGGTAAAGGTGCTAATCAATGTGTAGCAGCTGCCAAGCTTGGTGCTTCTACGGCAATTATTGCTTCTGTACGATTTATAATTTCATTTGATTCTTGTACAAAGTATTACATATACATATTATAATCTTTAGATCATAATTTTAAAGCAATTTTGTCATAACAAACTTTCCATGCAGTTAGGTTCTGACATTTATGCTCAAGAGTATCTAGAGATATTTAAGAAGGAAAATATAGACAGTTCTCATGTTCAAATACAAGCAAATGAACATAGTGGAATAGCACATATAACGGTTACCGAAGATGGTGAGTATCGGACTGCGGAATCTTGGTAAAATTAATTTTTTCTAAATGTTTAAAATACTAAAATTTCTCAAGCAAAATTTGACAATTTTAGGAGAGAATAGTATAGTGATTGTATTAGGATCGAATGCGTTGTTGAGTATAAAACACGTGAACTCTGCGGCTAATACGATTAAAAATGCTGCTGTTTTATTATGTCAATTTGAGTCACCACTAGAAACTATTCTACACGCTTTAAAACTTCACAAAGATCATGGTTAGTTTTTTCTTGCAATAATTCGTTGTCCTTACAGTACGATAGCCATAAAACATGCAATGTGATAGGTTTGTCGATTGTGAATGGTGCACCTGCCACAAAAGATGTTGACTCTGAATTATTAAAACTCTGTGGCATATTTTGCGTCAACGAAACCGAGGTATCATCAAATTATTCAATTATCAAAACCTTCTAATGTTAGTAGTTTTCTCTTTATTCAGATAGTATTAGATAAAATTAGTAAATTAAAGCATATGTTTATAGGCGGAAGTTATGACTGGCGTGCAGCTTATGGGACTGTCAAATATACAACACGCCGTTGACAAATTGTTGGATAAAGGTTGCGATACAGTGATTGTTACCCTCGGGGAGCAAGGAGCAGCTTATGCATCTCAGAATAATAGAACTGTCAAAATGGTTTCCACCAAATGTGTTCAGCCTGTAGATTCAACGGCACGTTCAATGATCTCACTCACTTAGTATACAGATATAGAATATAGCCCCATGTTACATTTTTTAACCTTTATTAATGATTTTATTCAATCTTTTCTATCTTTAATTTTTAACTTTGCTATTTAGTTATTTCCTCGTACGTCACTTATTTACGAGGAAAATTCGTATTCGTATTCGACAATTAATTTATGATTTAAAGGAACGACAGTTCGTGGAATCGTATCGCTAATATTCACGATATATTCGCAGGGAGCCGGGGATGCATTTCTGGGCGCTCTTGCATATTTTAAAGCTTATCACCCAGCGCTTTCGATGGACGAGTGCATCCGAAGAGCTTGCGTCGTTGCTACGGAATCCGTGTTGAAATTCGGCACACACGCGAGTTTCCCGAACAGAAGCAGCCTGTCGCCGGATCTGTTCGCTTGAATTAATAAAAATGTTATACATTTTATATAAACAACACATTCTTACGATTCTTGTCTCTATAATGTTTTACTTATGCTTTCTGTGCTTGTCAACTTTAATAGTAATAAAGTATGGATAAAGCGAAAGAAAACGAATAAGAATTCATTTTCAAGGAAACAATTAAGATTTTATTTTCATGGAATTTATAGAAATCTGTATGTTTATATATGTATAATTTAACTCCCAACGCTAGTTTATTGCGTGTTTCTTGTTGTATCAGATAATTAAGTACAATAAAAAATGTAGCAATCCTTATGTGATGGGTAGGTGAATGAACATTGATCGAATAAAATTTTGTATTATTTGTATTATATTAAAATAATAATGTAAAAGATTCAAGGCCAACCAAGGTAATAAAGGGTGCATAAAAGGGTACTTCCTACTGATTTTGATAAAATTAAAATACGCTGTAAAACTCGATATCTTTTTATATTTTTATATTTTTCTTATGCATGTAATCGCCGCTTCGCTTTAGTGTTCAACAAAATTGCAAAGAACTTATTGTTACCACTGCATTGAGTTGGATCTATATGCACGCGTTTGTGACAGTGCGAGTATGCTGGCTTTAGAACCACCGATTTAGAAACACTGCGAATTTTCCAAAGGACTCGAGCAATTTTTGGTTTTTCATTCTTCACAAAATTACTTTTTCATTTCCGTATTCAAAAGTATTCAATCCAGACCTTTGTACAAGAAAGCTTGAAGAACTTTAAGAAAAATTACACTTTATATATGAGCGTGGTAGCAAAAGTGTTAAACAGAATGACTCGTTCTTGACGTTTGATCAGACTAATTATGATATAGTTATTGCTATACGAAGTTCTAAGGAAGAGGCTTCTATCTAGGATAAATAAATTTACAATTGCAGTAATGCTCGGTTAAGTAGAACCAAAATTTGCCGGGTTAAATTTACACGGACCATCTTTACTGTTCTTCCATCATTCAGTGTCTCTCGATGCAATTGACAAGGAGAGAGAATGCAGCCACTGAAAAAAGTAAAGATGCAGTGATGAAAATCTTATCTTTCGTAAATTTCATCTTACCTTTCTGCAAATAATACCACCACGTTGCTGAGAATCTTCTGTTCGAAACGAGTCCAAACACTGTATAACTCGGACTATTTTATTCCACTATTACGTATACCATTTTCACAAAGACAACACGAAAATTAAGAGAAATAATCATATTTCTTCTATTTTATTTGTCAGCGTACGAGTCAATTTCAATTGCTGTCTCTCGAACTTGGTCGAATTTAACCAAACACTTTGGACACCTGTCCGAGAATTTGTATGTCTGGAATACTTGCTCGAGCTCACCAGATCGTTTCTGAGCCTGCAATTTGGGGTGACCGAGCGCCCCTACGGTCTGGAAAATTATATCGCGTATCTTGATTAATTACACGCACATGGCCAATTTTTGAACGTTTCGTTGTTCCCCGAGATCGTGTACCTATTCTCATCAAAGCTCCGATAAACGAATGCGGGCAACGACGAGGAACCGACGGAAAGGCAAAGTTCCGACCGCACGAAATTTCAAGCTGTATTAAGATTCACGCGGCAAAGTTTGCCACGATGCGTGTGATTCACGAAACGATCGAGACCTTTAACATTTCGTCAAATATTCCATGTTTTCGACGGAGGAGGATCTCCCAACGAGTGACAGAAAAATCGCGCAAGGAAAATCTCTGTATCAAACTCGTTCACTGTCTTTGCGTAAGACATTACATTAAAGAGTCCCGTTCAGGAATTTCACCGGTGGGCGAATGACGCGCGAACTATGATTTCTATCCAACGACACACTGCCCTATTATCTAAGTAATAATCAACCATGCTTTTAACTGGGGAACCTCTGATTGCAATCGTCACCAGCCACGTAACATGTCTGGTACCGTAAAATATGTCGTGCGTAAATGGCAATAGGGAAAGGAATCACGTTAATAACGTGCTAACGCGTGTATCTGTCAGCGAGGCCATCCCCGTTGAGAAATCACGATCCACGGTCTCTCCCTTTTCCCATTTCCACGACTAGCCGCTTTTCTTCCTCCATGGATGAACGCTGACGTCTTCGCTGGAAAACACCGCTAAATTACATATTTAAGGGAACGCGTACTGCTGCAAGAGGAAACGAAACAGGGCCCGATTGACGTCAGTGATCAGTAACGAAGAAAGCATCCACGAAGAGAAACTAGGGGGGCTACGACAAGGGAAGGGGTCACTCTGAAGGTGGAGACGCGTTGTGGCACCCACGGCTCCTCTACGTTAAAAATCCTGCGGTGAACTGGCAGAATTCAGTTTTCAGCAAACCACTAGTAACGATACTAGCCTTCTATCCGAACATACTACGTACCGGAGATTAGACTCGATTAACACGAGGATTTGCTGGATAAGGTTCAGCAAAATCGAGAACCGCAGGGATAGAAATCGCAAGATTCACGAGTACCGAGTGGTATTCTTGGTTTGCCGACTGTCGAGTCCAAAGAACTTATTAATCATGTTCGAAGCAACGTACAAATTTGATCGAACCTTGAAGCACATAGCCATCGGTGTCATCGTGTGTATAATATTCAGCCTCCTGCAGACTGCGTTCGCGGAGGCCAAGGAACTGTCAGCGGAGCGGTTCCACGTTCGCCACAGGGGTACCCATCGGTATTTGGAAAAGATACATCGGAACATAGAACACAAGAAGCAGGCGAACTCGAGGCATTCGTCGAGGATGAACGACGAGATGAACGACGAGATGAACGCGTGGAAGAATTCGTTTCCATCCAGAGTAAGACGGCATCACACGAACGCGTTGAAGGACTACATATTGGAGGTGAGCACTCTGCAGAACGCGTCCATCTGTAACTACACGGTGGAGCCAGTCGGGGAGGAGTTTGGCATCTGGATGTCGACGAATCTGCATCACATCAAGTGCAACAGCGATGTGATCGGTAACAAGTGTCAGAGCAAAAGACCTTACTGTTGCATACAGACCTTCGAGATAATAGACCTGCCCTTTCCCAACAAACCTAACCAGCAAGTGAAGATCTACACCGGGTGCGTGTGCGCGTACCCTCGCATAAATAAATTGCAGAAACCTAAAATGGGCGTATTATTGGATTCCTAACAGTGGAGTGTAGCCGCGAAGAAGCGTGGAAGTCGCGTCGATGTCGAATTACACGATCGAATCATCGTAGACGCTATCAACAGAGGTTCCTATAGACGACGACCCGATTATATTCGGAAATTTCTAAGGCCAACGTTTGCAAATAATTGCTAGTTATTAACTAACCGTGTATGTTCTTTCCATGACAAGTGCCTCGTTAGATCGTAAGAACTTAACCCTAGATCGTTTCTCGATCCAGATCGTTCCGGTTGCATCGATCCGTGTTAAACAGGTGGTCGGCAACTTTTAATTAACAGCCGCATGTAATCCGCGCTCGAGCCAGGATAATGTAACCATAATTGCCGGCCAATTACAATTGTAGATCTGTAAATAAACGCGGAATACTCGGTGACGTCTGGTTACGGGAAATCTCGATTTGCTCAATACTCGTTGTTCCATGGACAGGTGCCTTCGTAATATTATATAATAAGCTATTATATACCGCTTCGATTATTTATAGAACGCAACCAGTTTTGTTGCCAAACAATGAGATAGACGATTATTTATGTAATTATTATTTATACTATTTATTGTTCACTATTCCGCATTGCGTGTACCGTGGCGTTATGCCACACAGCGAAGCAATAATTAAGTATTATTTTTTAATCAATTCAACGTTTAGACGAATGTATTTACAAGATACTATCGTACTTTTGTACCCGAGATTCTTGCACACGAGAATCCTTTAGTTTTACGTGCATTTTGCTGAATATAATTTATTCTAAATGAACATTTCATGATTTTTTTCCTACCTAACCCTCATCTTCTTTTACTTACCATTACTATAGCTTTCAATGGACGTCGAGTGACGATCAAAACGATGGAGAGTGTCGACGATAGAGGAGATAGTCTAAATCTCGATTCTACAGTTGGTACTCTCATAGTCGCTATAAAACGTGACCGGTATATAAATTAGTTTCTATGAATTTTTCTCCGGTACTCTCGGCGAGAAAATCTCCGATGCAATTTAAGGATTTATCTCTCGCACGGTATCTCAAATCGAAGGTAAACCGTGTACGGTTCTCACGCTCCCTGACCTAGACACATCTTAGATTCGAAGAATCCCCGCGATTGTTCATTCGCGTGTATTTTGTAACATTTAGCGGGTTCACGAACGCGAAGAAGGCAATAAATTCTCGCTGTCGACTCAGCGAGTGAATCAGAAAACGTCTAGAGCTACCGAAAACTTGATCGTCTGGTTATCCCTACCAGAGAGGAATGCGACACGCGCCATCCGACGTTAAAACCTGTCGGCAGAAAAACCAAAGCACCGGGAGAAACCCTTGCCGATTGAACAACGACGCGTTCCATGGAAACAGTTGCGCGTTACGTTTCAGCCGGTTTCTATCGACGAGCAGCGATAGCGACAGCGTTTAAAAAATATCACGCGACAAAGCGATCGTTCAATTCGGTTCAACGGGTCAATAAAGGTTAACGTTCTCCAAGACGAACGCGGGGCGCGATATTCATCGTCCTTGTACGGCGTGACTCGGCAATTAAACGTTGCAAAAAGCCCCTGGAAACCAGGCGTATTTCTCACGATCCGCAGAAATTTGGATAACGTCACGCTACCAGAAACAGGATACATTTTCCACGTTATTTCTCGTGAAGAAACTTGGAGGGAACGGGGGGAGAGAGGAGGAAGCAAGGCTGCTTGGACAGGGGCACGAGAGGAGCGCAGTTCGGATGGGGCACAGGAGGAATTTCGTGACTATGACGATAACCGGTACTCCTCTCGATCGAGATAACCGATGGTGGGCCCGTAATAAATTACGACACACGCCGGTTGTCCAAGACACGCTCGAGCGGCGCGCGTGCTGCATCAGGAAATCCCGCGGTAA